CAGTGCCGTTTTTTATACATGCTCCGCGTGCGGATCATGTATTAAAAATGCAGGGAATTAGTTTTGAAAACGACGATGAGCTAGCTCATGCAGAAAATTATTCATAAATTAATCATGTATCTGTGTTAGAAATCCTATGTTTTACAAATCCTATGTATTAAAAACTGCCCTGTAATGCCCCAGGGAACATTCATGTAGTGGCACGAGGGCGGCCACGGCCGCGAGGAGCACGCCTGCGCCGACGCTGGCGCCTGCGATGGCGCCGACGAGGACGCGATGAGGCACGGCGCAGGCCGCGCCAGCGCCGCAGCCCCCGGGAGGGGGGGGGGGGCGCGCAGCCACCGGAGACGACAGCGCGTATACTGGATTGGCCTCGCCAGCGGGTCCTTCCCGCGCAGGCTGTCGGGAGTGGCCTGCTTCCAGCAGGCCACGGCGAGCGCGCCGCCCACGAGACGGACCATGCAGCGCAGCACCCCCCGACGACCGAGGAGTCGTCCCATGCGGGGCGGGGTGCGCCCAGATGCTGCGGCGGAGGATCATCATGGACGATCAGCGCGGTGCCCTCGACACGTCGGGCATCCAAGCCACCTTCTCCATGTTCGGCCCCGTCGAAGCCACTGGCGCCAGGGGCGGCCGGGTCGCCGTGCGATGCTCGCCCGCCGAAGCCGCCTGGAAGGTGGCGGGCCGCCTCCACGGCGCTGGATTGCGGAACCGCGCGTCAAATGTCGCCATCATCTGCCAAAGTGAGGACGGCCACCTGGCTGAGATACATCGCCGTGACGAAAGTTTCTTTCAATTTGCCTTTTGGAATGACGCGCTCGTGCGGAGTAGTTCGGAGTAGTTTTACCAAAACTACTCCGCGCGCAATCGCATCCCGCTCGATAATTTATATGGTTTGGCGCGGAGTAGTTTCCGATCCCGTTTTGGGGTAACAGAGTTATTATCGTCTCCGGGATCGGAAACTACTCCGCCGAATGACCCCAGCATCATGTCATGTTAGGAATCTTGAGCGGGATGGGAGAGAGCTTCATCATAGCAATTTGAAGAAACTTTTGTCACGACTGTGTAGCAAGAGCACACGCCATAGCGCATCATAGCGCAGCAACCCTTGATGACTTTGAAGTCGTCCTGTGCGGTGGGGTGCAGAACTGCCTCGGCCCGTTGACCAAGACGGGTGCCCGCGTGGCGACCAGGCTGGACCAAGCAAAAGCACGCCCTGAAGAGGGCCTCCGCAGGAGGGCCAGGCATGCCGAGACTCCGTCGGAGGACGCGGCGTGGAACGAGACTGAGAGCCCCGCCGAGGTCGGAGCCGCGACGGAGTCCCCGAACTGCCAGCGGACCTAGAAGGCGCCGCATGCCAGCTCACCGGCATCCCCGGCGCTCGCGCCCCGAGCCCAGACTTCACCTGCGCTGCTCCCGCCGGCGAGAGATCCGCGCAGAAACCGCGGCGCGTCCATGGCGCTCGCTCGCCCCGCCGGCCGCGCCGCGCTCGGCCTCCCCTCGGCCCGCCAGAGCACCTCGTTTCCTCCTTCCCGTCGGCTTGTAGGGGGCCACATGCGAACCCTATACCCCTACCCCCCACGATCTTTGAGGGGGAGGGTGGGGTTCGCTTCGCTCGTGGCCTCTCGAACGAAGTGAACCCCACCCTCCCCCGCAGACATCGTGGGGGGTAGGGGTATAGGGTTCGCATGTGGCCCCCCCTAGCTTGCCCTCTGGCCCGGCCCGCGCTGCCCGTGGCGCCAGACCCATTGATGCACAGGCGCGCGTGTCCTGGGGGGGGGTCCAGAGCACCGCGCTCGCCGGGCAGTGGGGGCACCCCGCGGGGTGTGCGAAGATCGGGAGGCCTCGCTTCCCGGGCAGGCGGTGCCGCCCTGGGGCACTGGCTTCGCAGGGGTGCGGCAGGAACCAAAGAGCCCAGAAACCAGACTGCCCCCTCATTCTCCTTCCTCCTTCCTGCTCCTCCTCCTCCTCCTCCTCCTCCTCTTCATCCTCCTCCTCCTCCTCCTCCTCCTCCTCCTCCTCCTCCTCCTCCTCCTCCTCCACAGTTACTCAATATGAATATACTCTCCCTCTTACACTGATGGCGTCCGGGTGATGGCCGCGCACCCTCCGCGTACTGCTTTTTTACACACAGGATCCCCGGGAAATCCCGGGAAACGACTCTCGCTGAGGCGCCGGCGTCATTTTCGGGCAAAATGATGCTCTCGCTGAGGCGCCGGCCTCATTTCTGCTCCCGAATCGTTCCGAATCGTGCTCCCGCTGCAGCGTGGGCCTCATTTTCGGATCGGTGTTTGGCCTCCGTCGTTCAGGATGGCGTTCTCGCCCCAGCGCGGGGCTCTTTCTCGCGCGCCCATCCGCCCGCCACCACCGCGCCGCACCACCACCACCACCACCACCACCACCACCACCACCACCACCACCACCACCACCATCACAACCACCACCAGCACCAGCACCACCACCAGCACGAGCACCAGCACCAGCACCAGCAGCAGCACCACCACCACCACCACCACCACCACCACCACCACCACCACCACAACCACGCACACACGCACGCACGCACGCACGCACGCACGCACGCACGTGCACCACCACCCACTACGCACGCGCGCGCGGAGCCACAGGTCCGCTACGACACGCGTCCGCGGATAGAGAAAATCAACGCCATGGTAAGGGATGGGAGGGCGGGGTAGGACGTCAGATATGACGCGAGCGCACCTAGCTTGTCCTCCTCCCCCTCCTCCTCCTCCTCCTCCTCCTCCTCATCCTCCTCCTCCTCCTCCTCCTCCTCCTACTCCTCCTCCCCCCCCTCCTGCTCCTCCCCCTCTTCCTCCTTCCCCTCCTCCTCCTCCTCCTCCTCCTCCTCCTCACTCCTCTTACCCCTCCCCCTCCCCCTCCCCCTCCTCTCTTCCTCCCCTCATCCTCCTCCTCCTCCTCCTCCTCCTCCTCCTCCTCCTCCTCCCTCCCAGCGCGCTCCATGCACCTAGCAGAGGGGAGCGTGCCCCCCACCCCACCCCCCACCGTGCCAGGCCCAGCCCAGTGGGACAGGCGGGGGGAGGGCGCCGGAGATCAGGGAGGGGCGGCGGAGGCTGCTGGCGGAGACTGCCAGAGGGGCAGCGCGATCATGAGCGACAGTATCGCCGCTGCCGCCGAAAGCCCTCTGAAGAACCCCCCCCCCTGGGGGTTCCCTGGGGGTCCCCATGGGGGTTCCCTGGGGATTCCCTGGGGGGTCCCTGGGGGGGGCGTCGTCTGTGCTGGCGACCTTTGATCCCTCCCCTCCTCCGCCCTGCTCCGTCGTGTCTGCTGCTCCCCCTGGCTCCTCCCCTCTCTCGCTTCTCCTCCTCCCCTCCATCCCTTTCCCTCTTTTCCTCCTGTTGCTCCTCGTGTCGCTTTTCCGTCGGCCTCCCTCTCCTCAAGGCGGCGCCCCCCTTTCTGGCTGTTGTGCCCCCCGCCGCGGTTACAGCCCCCGCCTCCCCCCTCCCCCAGCGATGCTCTGCTGCTAGGGTGAGGAGGGGCGGGGCCGTCGGCCCCAGCAGAGATGCTGACAGGTCCGCCACCTTGAAGCCTCGAAAGAGGAGGAGGAGGAGGAGGAGGAGGAGGAGGAGGAGGAGGAGGAGGAGGAGGAGGAAGAAGAAGAATAAGAAAAAGAGGAGGAAAGTGAGGAGGAGGAGGCGGAGGAAGAAGAGGAGCAGGGTCCTTGACAGGTGCTTTACGCCCGAGCAGGCTTCTCTACTTCTCCTCGCCTCATTGCCCCCCTTTTCCGTTTCAGGGGCCCCTTTTGGCCAGCACCTGGGGCATCGGTGGGCCCCAGGTCGATCGAGCGCTGCATCCCGATTGTTCTTAATTTGTTTGATCGCGAACGCCCCCATGGACGCAGCGAGCTCCGTCGCTCAGAGGCTGGCCAACGCAAAAAAGGAGGAGGAGGAGGAGGAGGAGGAGGGGGAGGAGGAGGAGGAGGAGGAGGAACATCAGGAGGCAGGAGGGGGAGGAGGAGGAGGAGGAGGAGGAGTTGGAGGAGGAGGAGGAGGAGGAGGAGGAGGAGGACCAGGAGGAGGTCGAGGCCATACGAAAGTCGAGGAGGAGCCCACCCCTCCCCGAACCTCTATCCTCGAGCCTCGAACCTCGAGCCTCGAGCCTCGAGCCTCGAGCCTCGAGCCTCGATCCTCTGGCATCGCTCACCCGACGCCCCGAGGACGTCTTGGGCGCTCTGCCCGAGCAGGCCCCGGCGCCAGGGGGCGGCTGCGTCCGGCGCATCTTCGCCGGCCCCGCCGAGCTGCTCGGCGGCGCGACGCTCGCTCAGATCGGGGTCACGGGCGGCGTGGGGCTGACGCTGGTCCGCTCCTCGTCGTCGTTGCCCGTCGTCGGTCGTCGGTCGTCGGTCGCCGTCGTCGTCGTCGTCGTCGTCGTCGTCGTCGTCGTCGTCGTCGTCGTCGTCGTCGTCGTCGTCGTCGTCGCTACCCGTCGCTTCCCGTCGCTTTCCGTCGTCGTCGTCGTCGACGTCGTCGTCGACGTCGTCGTCGTCGGTCGTCGGTCGTGGTCGTCGTCGTCGTCGCTCTCCGTGGCTTCCCGTCGTCGTCGTCGTCGTCGTCGTCTCCGTCGTCGTCGTCGTCGTCACTCGTCGTCAAAGTCGTCCAAGGAGAAGGAAAGAGGAAGGAGGACGACGACGAGGGGGGAGGAGGAATGTGAGGAGGAGGAGGAGAAGGGAAGAGGAGGTATGAGGGAGGCAGGAAGAGGAGAAGGAGGAGGAGGAGGACGAGGAGGATTATGAGGGAGGATGATGATGAAGGAGGAGGAGGAGGCAGAAGGAGGGGTGCGTGGGAGGAGCATGGAGGAGGATGTCCTCTTGCTCCTCGTCCTCCTGCTCCTCCAGTTCCTCCCCTTCCTTCGCCCCTTTCTCCTCCTTCTTCTTCTCCTTCTGTTTCTTATTCTCTTTCTCCCCATCGTTTCCGTTCATCATCCGCCCCCTTCCCTCATCTTCTCCCCGTTCACATTCTCATCCCTCCTCCTTCCTTCTCCATCTTCCTTTCTCCCTCTCCTCCTGCTCCGCTCCTCTCCCCCCTTCCCTCGGTGTTGTCAGCGCCGCTGCGCGTCGCGTGCGGCGTGGGCCGAGGAAAAGTGAACATATGTTCCGCCGACACTGGGGAATGCTTGAGCACGCTGGACGACCACGTGGACCTGGTGCAGTCCACCATGTTATCGCCTCAGGACCCAGATCTCCCATGTATTGCTCTCTCAGGTCGCCCTCGTGTGTTGCGGAGGTAATGTCGTTGGCCTTTCATTCCCCTTTTTCAGTCCGCGGTTCACACTGCTCGCTTCGGGATCCAGGTTTGGTTGGCGACAGTTTGATTCGCACAGCTGTCGAGGCCGAGCAGTGTGATCGCGCTCCTTCCTCCTCCTTCTCCTCCTCCTCCTCCTCCTCCTGCTCCTGCTCCTGCTCCTCCTCCTCCTCCTAACATATACGGTCGGGAACTTTAGCTTAGCGTCCGCTGGTTCTGGCCCGCCCAGTCCCCGAGCGTCAATGTCCCGAGCCCTTCCAAGCTCCCGCGCCGTGGCGGCACGCTAAGAAGACGTTCCCGACCGCATGCTCTTTCGGGACGCGATGCCCTGGAGCTCCTGGCCCCTCCGCGGGGGCCAGCCTGCCGCCACCCGGGCCGGCATTTTGCGGGGCCCAGGCATGCACTCCACCGCCACCACCCTCACCCTCTCCACCTCCCAGGAAAAGAGGAGGGTGGAGTGGGGAGGGGGAGCCCGAACAAGTGTGATACAAAGCTTGTTTTTTTTGTTGTTGTATCACACTTGTGCTTTTTTTGAATCACGCTTGTGCGGAGAATCGAGGCGGTGGTGGTGTCCATCTCCTGGGGCCCCGAGATCTCGGGGCCGAGAGCGCCCGCCCGCGTGGGACACCGGGCCACGACGCCAGAGGCCCTGCGACCGTGGCCTTGGCACCCGACGATCGTGTGCCCTGGCATCGGGGGCGGCCAGGCGGGGGGGGGGACGGCCAGGAGTAGGTCGGGCCTGTCCCTCCACAGGGGGAGTGTTCACACACAGACAAAAATGGTCAGGGGACGATTTTTGGACCATTGTTGAATATTTTTTGGGTATTGTTTGACTATCGTCTAAAATCCGCCTGTAGGGGGACACGCCCGACCCAAGGCCAGGAGGGGGGCGGATGCGGCTGTTGGCGAAAACAGCGCCCATCCTCAGACGTTGCGTCGACGGTGCCGCCCCCGGACCTCCCCATTTCAATGTTGCGTTCGCGGCCGTTGTCGGTGCGCAGCCATCGGCACAAAAGTCAGGAGGGGAAAACACACTGACACAATTAATCATCGATCCCAAGAAAATATGGGAAAATATGGGAAGTGGGGGGGAAGACAAAAACCCGGAAAATATGGGAAAATATGGGGAATCTATTTATTTGTGTGTATTTATTCGTGTTTCCTTGGGCCCCTTCAAAAAGAGCACCCAGAACCTCACCGCCAGGCCGTTTGCAACATTGAAGTTGGGGGGCACGGGTGTTCTGAACACAGCAGCGTTGTCCATGATGCTTGGTGGGCGTTTTTTTAATGCCAACGGCGGTGCGGTCATGAACTGTGGCTTAGCGTGTCGCTCCGCCGACTCTGGCCTACCGCGCTTCGGCGCGACACCCTGCCCACGTCCCAGTCCCCAAGCCTCAACGTCCCGAGCCTTTCCCAGCCTTCCACCCCGCGGAGCAGAGCGACTCGCTATCAGCTCGCAGGGTATGGCTTGTCGCCAGGGCCGCCGCGGCGACACGCTAAGCAAACGTTCCCAACCGTAGGGAAGGGGGATATATCTCCCCGCGTTTCATGGCCCACTCTTCTTCTTACTCTTCTTCTTCTTCTTCTTCTTCTTCTTCTTTGAATGCGTCTCCTGCTCCCCCCCTCGTCCGCGCACATGCCTCAGACCATTACCTGCGAACCCCCCTCTTGGACGCCCCCCTCTGCGCCGCCCCCGACTGACTCCAGATCCGCCGCACTTGGTGGCAAAAATGTGGCTGGCTTTCCAATTCAAGTTGTGTTGGAAATGCACTCCAAGCGATGCGAAAAAAGCGTAGGGCGGATATTTCCGCCTCATAAAGCAAGGCGGATATTTCCGCAAGGGTATGCTGGAGACAGCAATGGCAAAGCGGTGCGGGAATCAACCTCAAAGGAGCTTGAAAAGTAAGGCGGACATTCCTGGCCTACCCGCGAAGTCGGCCGCAGTGAGGCGAATCTGGAGTCGAGGCCCCCCCCTCCCCCCCCCTCCCCCCAGATCCCATCCTATCCAATCCCAGCATCCTCGTCGTGTGTTCCACGCTCCTCGCCCTCGCCTCCGCCTGCTTGTCCGCGCACTTCGAGGCGGATCCGGAGTCGAGGCCCCCCCCCTCCAGGAGGAGGAGGAGGAAGAGGAGGAGGGGAGGAGGAGGAGAAGGAGGAGGAGGGGGCGGTGGTACGGACGGGGCTGGGACAAGGACACATCCGTTCCTGAGCGTTCCGGCACGCTCTCAGGGCGTTCCAGAACGCTCTGGGAGGAGGAGGAGGAGGAGGAGGAGGAGGAGGAGGAGGAGGAGGAGGAGGAGGAGGAGGAGGAGGAGGAGAGGAGGAGGAGGAGGAGGAGGAGAGGAGGAGGAGGAGGAGGAGGAGGAGGAGGAGAGGAGGAGGAGGAGGAAAGGAGGAGGATTTTTTTCAAAGCGAGGAGGTCAGGGAAGAGAGGAGGACTCGAGGAGGACTCGAGGTCGTTCTTGCCTTGCCGCCGCGCGCCCCCTCGAGTCCTCCTCTCTTCCCTGACCTCCTCGCATTTTGAAAAAAACACTCCTCCTCCTCTTCCTCCTCCTCCTCCTCCTATCCTCCTCCTCCTCACCCTCCTCCTCCTCCTCATCCTCTCCTCCTCCTCCTCCTCCTCCTCCTCCTCCCTCCTCCTCTCCTCCTCCTCCTCCTCCTCCTCCTCCCCCCACGGCGGGAGGTTTTTCGCTATCTTCGGCCTCCGGGGGCCCTCACCGGGTTGTTCAGGAGGGAAGAAAACACGCAGACACTATAGTGATCGTCGATTCCCCAGAAAATATGAACAAATATCGGAAATTGGGGGAAGACAATAACCCAGAAAATATGGGGGAATATAGGGAGTTCGGTTATTTATGTGTATTTATTTGTGTGCCCCAGGGCCCCTTGAGTTGTGAAAGAAACACCGCCTCGGGGGTCCGGGCCCTGCTCCCCCCGGGTGTCCCCCTCTGCGAGGCTTGCGGAGGACCGAAGTGCTGTCAGGCACTGGCACGGCTTTCGCCTCCCAAGGGGGCCTCCGTGGAGGGCTCCGGGGATAAGCTCCGAGGAGGCCTCCGGTGCTGAGAGGCTTCTGGAGACTGCCGGGGACCTCTGGAGACCTCCCTGGGGGATGGGAGGGCGAGGAGAGTCAGAGCGTGAGTTACCTACCCCGCTTTCGCTTCCGGGCAAAACCATGTCATACCACGCGCCTCCTCGTCAAGCGGCCTGACCAGTACAGGCCGTAGTTTGGCATCGTTTGGTATCTCTTGGAAGCGAGGGTGGTCAAAAGCGAGGTAGGTCTGTTTTCCCTCTTAGAGAGGGGGGTGGCCAGGAGTTGGGGACGGGTGCCAGCCCGCGGACCATCCGACGACGACGGTGATGATGTTTTCCGCCTGATGCTGAAGTGCGAACACTTTGTGACCCGGACACTTCGTCATCATCGTCATCGTCGTCGAGGGGGGGGGGGCATGTTTCTGCCCAGGTTCTCGCCCGACAGCCTGGAGGTGCTCACCGCCTCGGCCGACGGCACGGCAAAGATCTTCTCCGCGGCCTCGGGGGAGTGCCTGCGCACGCTGGAGGGCCACGGGGGCGAGGTGGAGTCAGGCGCGTACTCGCCCGACGGTCGGGAGGTGCGGTGGCGAAATCCGAACCCTGCCCTCGCCGCTCAACGATTTGGGCGGCTCGATGGGCGGCGGCCGGTAGGATGTGGGCTTCGTCGAAGACATGGCGGGGTCCGAGCCCTGCCCTACCCCCGTTTCCCATTGACTCAGGAGAATCGATGGTTGGTGGGGGCACGGTCAGAAAATGTGGCTCAGTGTGTCGCTCCGCCTGTTTTGGCCTGCCGCGCCTCGGCGCGACACGCCTTCCGACGCGCCGCTATCCGCTTGCAGGGCATGCGGCATGTTCGTGTCTTGCCGACTCGGCTGCGCCCCTTGCACGGGCGTTTGAGGTTGAACTCCGCTGGCGGCCCAGAATCAGCCAGCATGGGACGATCTGGCGGTCGGAAAGGCGCCGATCGTTCAAGGTTGAACAATCCACGTGGCGTCAGAAACCAACGCCTGGGTCGTCACGACACGAACCTGCCGTATTTAGCGTGTCGCCGAGGCCGCCGCGGCGACACGCTGAGCAGAAGCTCCCGACCGTAGGGTGTCGCCACCTGGCGGCTCGGGGGCTGCTAGAAGGCGCCCCTGGCCCCAGGTGCCCCTAGCTTTTCGCTCCATCTTGGAGCCCCTGGGGCCCCCGGGGCCTCGTTGTGGGCTCTCAGGAGGCCGTGGGTCAAGGGAGGAAAAAACACCGTGGCCCGACAGTTGATCTTTACTAAGCGGCCCTGGGCGTTTACGGAACAGCCCTGCCCTGTTCGATTCCTTCCTTGGGCGCCTTTACTGAACGGGGCTTTGCTTGTCGGCGTGACTCTTCTTTGGGGGGGTGGGGACTGTCTGCCCTCTGGTGGGGGGGGGGGGCCTCCCTGGCAGCCCCCGGAGGGGGCACCCGCGAGGTGCTCACGGCCTCGTGCGACGGCACGGCGCGGCTCTGGTCGGCCGCCTCCGCGGAGTGCCTGCGGACGCTGGCGGGCCGCGCCCTCGGAGGGGGGGGGGGGAGGGGGGGCCCTCGGGGCCGGGGCGCCGCCGAAGAGTCGCCGCGGCGCGCCGTGCTGTGTGTGGTGCTCGGCCTGGCCGCCCCCAGGGGCAGCGACGGGACGAGGAAATATGATACAAGAAGGGGAGGGGGGGGGATGCGGTCAGGAGTTCTCGGCTCGGCGCGCCGCGGCGTCGCCGCTGGCCCCAAGACGCCTCGGCGCGGCGCGCTGTCCGCTTCGCGGTCCCCGGGCGTCCGCGTGCCGAGCTTCTCTCCCGGCCTCGCACCCGTGCAGGGCACAGCGTGGCACCAGGGCCTCCGCCCGCCGCGCCACGCTGAGCGAAAGAGCTCCCGACCGCAGGCTCCCGGGGGGGGTACGTCGACTCCCGATCGCCCATTTATCGCCGACAATCTGGGCCCGGGCCGCCCCGCCCAGGACCGCGCGGATGCGCCATCGGGGGCATGGCGCCGATCTATCGGCGATGTATCGCCGATGCAAGGTCGGTGCTTCCCCCCCTGCGCTGGTCCCCCCCTGACGTTTTGCCCCTCGCATTTTCTGGGCCGCAGAAAATCAAACAAATCGGCTCAGGGTGAACATCTGGCACCAGGGAAGTGTGGTCGAAGCGCTGGGGCCTTGGCGTCACGAAGAACTTGCGCCGTCGGATCAGACTCAGATCATCCGCGACCAGGCCTTCCCAGAGGCTCCCACAGAGGCCCCTCAGAGGGTCCCCCAGGGGCCCCCGCGGATGTTCCCAGAGGCTTTCCTAGTGGCTCCCCCAGAGGCCCCCCAGAGGCTTTCCCAGAGATCCCCCCCCGAGGCCCCCAGACGCTCCCCTGGACGGCCCCCAGATGCCCCCCCCCCCGATCGTTCGGTAACAGATTTCGGTCGCGCCAAATTTCGGTCGCGACAGGAGGGGGTCGAATCTCGGTGACGAAGAGACGGCGCGTCGGGTTTCAAACGAGAGTTTCGAAGACGTCGGCGACTCGCTCGTTACCAATATTCGCGACGGAGGCCGGATTTTGGTCTCGACCGGTTCGTCCGGAGTGTTACCAGACATGCTCGGTGTGCCGATGATTTCCGTCATGACCGATGGTCTGGGGAGGGGGCACGGGCTTTACGCCAGCACACTTGATGCTCGCCGCGCCCAGGATGGGCTTGGCCGAGTACTGGTGCTCTACTGGTGCACAGCCGGCGCCTTGCGAAGAAGAGGAATCTGCAAACACATACGGTCAGGAACATGTGCTTCGCCGCGACACGTTAACCACGTGCCGGTCCCCAGGCGTCAACTTCCCGAGGTTTCCCCAGCGTCCCGCGCCGCGGACTGGAGCGACGCGCCACTTGATTGCAAGGCACAGCGTGTCGCCAGGGCCGCCGCCGCGACACGCCAAGCAAAAGTTCCCACCGTGAATTTTCGTAGGTCCGCGCGGACCTGCAAGCTTATTCAGAGCCTCGCAGACTGCCGACGTCCCCGCCGCCCCCTCACTCTTATCCGCAACTGTGGGGTGCTACATATTCGTAGGTCCGCGCGGACCTCCGAAAGTTAGTGTATGGTGTTTTGTTGTTGTTGTTGTTGTTGTTGCTGTTGCTGTTGCTGTTGCTGTTGCTGTTGCTGCTGCTGCTGCTGCTGCTGCTGCTGCTGGTGTTGGTGTTGGTGTTGTTGTTGTTGTTGTTGTTGTTGAACATTATTCCTTCTAAAGAATTATTATTGTTGGGACCCCTGGTGCGCGACCTCTGCGCCGCGCCTAGGCCGCAGCTACATTTTCATTATTTTTTCGCGAAAGCTTCAGAAAAGTGGATGAGCTCCGGATCCGGTTTTTTGTTGACGCTCGTTTTCCCTTGCAAAAAACAATAGAAAATGAAAATTCTTGTTCTTACTTGATCAAATTGCAAGAATCCCTTGCAAAAAATAAGGTAAAGTGGACATTCGTGCGCGCAAGACGAAATCCTTCCAAAACCTTAGGTTTCGTAGCGATTTTAACATAAAAACATCAAAAACCCAATGGTTTTTTAAGAAAAAATTGTCAAAATGTCCTTCCGCGCGCGCTGTCCGAATCCCACAAAACCAATGGTTTTTCAACATTTATGTTACATGAGCTCGCGCGAGCTACTTTTTCTTGTTCTAACATAATCAAATTTCAATAATCTCTTGCAAAAAATAAGGTAAAGTGGACATTCGCGCGCGCAAGACGAAATCCTTCCAGAACCTTAGGTTTCGTAACGATTTCAACATAAAAACATCAAAAACCCAATGGTTTTTCAAAAAAAAATGTCCAAATTTCATCCCGCGCGCGCTGTCCGACTCCCACAAAACCAATGGTTTTTCAACATTTATGTTACATGAGCTCGCGCGAGCTACTTTTTCTTGTTCTAACATAATCAAATTTCAATACTCCCTTGCAAAAAAAAGTAAAGTGGACATTCGCGCGCGCAAGACCAACAAAAAACACGACGATCTCAGGAACTTGCCCCAAAAATGTGACCAACTCCGCTCTCTCTGTCTCTCTCTCTGTCTGCTCTCTGTCTCTCTCTCTGTCTGTCTGTGTCATGTATTGTATGTCACAATTGCAGGATGCTGGGCACACGCGCGCCCCGAATAAGTGACCAAGTTCTGTGGGTGTGTACCCCACGCCAGTGTAGTAGCCACGGTCGTCCGCACGCCACGAAGTGAAGTGTCCCAACGTCATAGGGCGGGAAGCTGGGTTTGGGTGGTCGCGAAGAGTCGTTTGGATATTTGGTAGAGCTTGAACTGCCCCCCCACGAAGTGGGGGTATTGTCTCGCGTCGCATGAAAACCCTGGCACTGGGGAGAACACTGAGCGTTCGGGTAAAATGATTGTTGTTGAACATTATTCCTTCTAAAGAATTATTATTGTTGGGACCCCTGGTGCGCGACCTCTGCGCCGCGCCTAGGCCGCAGCTACATTTTCATCATTTTTTCGCGAAAGTTTCAGAAAAGTGGATGGGCTCCGGATCCGGTTTTTTGTTGACGCTCGTTGTCCCTTGCAAAAAACAATAGAAAATGAAAATTCTTGTTCTTACTTGATCAAATTGCAAGAATCCCTTGCAAAAAATAAGGTAAAGTGGACATTCGTGCGCGCAAGACGAAATCCTTCCAAAACCTTAGGTTTCGTAACGATTTTAACATAAAAACATCAAAAACCCAAAGGTTTTTTAAGAAAAAATTGTCAAAATGTCCTTCCGCGCGCGCTGTCCGAATCCCACAAAACCAATGGTTTTTCAACATTTATGTTACATGAGCTCGCGCGAGCTACTTTTTCTTGTTCTAACATAATCAAATTTCAATAATCCCTTGCAAAAAATAAGGTAAAGTGGACATTCGCGCGCGCAAGACGAAATCCTTCCAGAACCTTAGGTTTCGTAACGATTTCAACATAAAAACATCAAAAACCCAATGGTTTTTCAAAAAAAAATGTCCAAATTTCATCCCGCGCGCGCTGTCCGACTCCCACAAAACCAATGGTTTTTCAACATTTATGTTACATGAGCTCGCGCGAGCTACTTTTTCTTGTTCTAACATAATCAAATTTCAATACTCCCTTGCAAAAAAAAGTAAAGTGGACATTCGCGCGCGCAAGACCAACAAAAAACACGACGATCTCAGGAACTTGCCCCAAAAATGTGACCAACTCCGCTCTCTCTGTCTCTCTCTCTGTCTGCTCTCTGTCTCTCTCTCTGTCTGTCTGTGTCATGTATTGTATGTCACAATTGCAGGATGCTGGGCACACGCGCGCCCCGAATAAGTGACCAAGTTCTGTGGGTGTGTACCCCACGCCAGTGTAGTAGCCACGGTCGTCCGCACGCCACGAAGTGAAGTGTCCCAACGTCATAGGGCGGGAAGCTGGGTTTGGGTGGTCGCGAAGAGTCGTTTGGATATTTGGTAGAGCTTGAACTGCCCCCCCACGAAGTGGGGGTATTGTCTCGCGTCGCATGAAAACCCTGGCACTGGTGAGAACACTGAGCGTTCGGGTAAAATGATTGTTGTTGTTGTTGTTGTTGTTGTTGTTGTTGTTGTTGTTGTTGTTGTTGTTGTTGTTGTTGTTGAACATTATTTATTCTAAAGAATAATTATTGTTGGGCCCCCTGGTGCGCGCCCCCCCTGCGCCGCCTAGGCCGCAGCTACATTTTCATCATTTTCGTGAGGAAGCCTCAGAAAAGAGGGTGTGTACAGGATCCGGTTGTTTTGTTGTAATCCGCTTTCCCTTGCAAAAAACAATAGAAAATGACATTTCTTGTTCTAATATAATCAAATTTCAAGAATCCCTTGCAAAAAATAAGGTAAAGTGGACATTCGCGCGCGCAAGACGAAATCCTTCCAAAACCTTAGTGTTCGCAACGATTTTAACATAAAAACATCAAAAAACCAATGGTTTTTCAACAAAAAATTGTCAAAATCTCATCCCGCGCGCTCTTGCGGATTCGTAGGAAACCCAACACTTTTTAAACATTTCTGTCAAACGGGCTTTTGCGAGCAACTTTTTCGAACTTCTGCGACAACGGTTGCGCACCTGCCAGGGCCATCATCCCTGTCAAATAATACCATGCGGGACACATTCGTTTTTTCTTCGCGCGCGCACGCCGTCGTCGTCGGCCGCGGGGCCCTGAATAGTAGCCACGGTCGTCCGCATGCCACGAAGTGAAGTGTCCGAACGTCATAGGGCGGGAAGCTGGGTGTGGGTGGTGGCGAAGAGTCGTTTGGAAATTTGGTAGAGCTTGAACCGGCCCCCCCACAAAGTGGGGGTATTGCCCGCCTCCTATGAAAACCTTGGCACTGGTGTGAACGGAGTGTCCCCACGTGCTAGTAATTGTTGTTGTTGTTGTTGTTGTTATGGTTGTTTTTTGTTGAACTCTCATTCTTGAAGAATAATTATTGTTGATCCCCCCTCACCAGTGCACATTGATTTTTTCAATTGAAATGCCCCCCCCCGGGGCTAGCACCTTGTTTTTTGTCAAAGAAAGTCTTCCTGCTCAAATTGGC